CTGAAAAGTTTAACATGATTTTTTTGGCAACGGGAAGTTGGATAATTTATTTATTAGGATAATTAATATTTGTATTAAGGGATATTGCTTATTTCATGCTGTTTATTTTCTTTTCATTTTTGGACACGCACATCGCAATTTTCTTATTCTGACGCGCATGTGTGTCACGAGGCACAGCAGAAAGAATTTCCTTCTCCCCTCTCTCTTTATTAGCTAATGGCAAAGAGGTTTGTTTGTTTTAAATTATGTCATCCACAAAGCACAATTTTGATTGGTTATTGCTTTCTGATGATAGTTTCATTCTTTTAGAAGTGTGGTTTTGGCAACAGTTTTTCATTCATTGCTTTGGATATTGGACTGCTGACTGTTTTCTCTTGAAAATATGAGATTTATTGCTTATTTCATTGTAATTTTATATCATGTTTTATTATATATAATTTTAATTATTTAAAAAAATGTTTTGCCAAATTTTTTTAGGAAACAAAGTTCTTAACTTCCTTTACACCATTTGAATTCTTAAGATTTTTTCAACGGGAAGTTGATTAATTATTTATTAGGATAATTAATATCTATATTAATTAATATTTATATTTATATTAAGATAATTAATAATTATACTTATTTTATTGAATTTTTTGTTTTGTAGAGACATTAGGTATTTTTATTTATTTATTTATTTATTTTTTGGAAACAGGCAAAATAAAAAATTAGCAACGCCTTCATCGGGAATCGAACAGCGGACCTCTGGAATACGCGCCCAGCATGCAGACCACCACACCACGAAGGCATGCCAAGAAGGCGGGAGAAATACCTTCCCCAATTTAACCCCCCCCCTCATTTAAAGGGCGACTGGCGTTTTTAGGAGACCCAACCGGCAAATCCCGTGTGTGGAGAATCATCAACCGTAACACCCTTTTTTGTTCGGGCGCTATTGTAGAGATATTCGTAATTTTTTGGATTGGATTATTCAATTATGGCAAAGCACAAGAGGGCTATCTGCCTAAAGGAAGGGATGCCTTTGTGGAGGAATTTCTAAGGGAAACTGGCTCGTATACACGTTACACATGGGGAAAACCACGAAAGCGCCCATGCAGCCAGCCCATTCACGGGATTCGAACCTCGGACCGAACTACCAGTGTTCAGCGTCTTTACTGCTCGGCGACTGGTGGGCAGTTATTTTTTGGAAGCAGGTAAGATGAAAAACTATTAGCTCCTTGGCCGGGAATCGAACCGCGGACCTCTGGAATACGCATCCAGCGTGCAAACCACATACCACAAAGGCATGTCAAGAAGGCGGGAGAAATACCTTATAGTTTGAAAAAGGTTGTTCTGCAGAGTAAAATTCTGTGCAGGTTTTAAATTTAATGTTTTGTGTTTCCTTTAGGCATTTTTACGGTACATTTCAAAGCCAGACGAAAGATAGTTAAATAATAAATAAAGATTAAATAGGAAGGTGGGTCCATTATTTTATCGTTTTATTTAATAACATAGCTGAAATTTCACGCAGCGATGAGCATTAAGTTTACAAAATAAATCCACTAATGAGATGGGTCTAAAACTTTACTGTATTTATTGTTTTCTATAAAAACATTGTTAAGCATTAAAAAGCATTGCTCATCTGAGTACATCCATGCCACACATTTTTTTAATTTTCGCTTTTCTAATATTAAGGTGAAGAATCTATATTTGTGTGTATGTATGTTTCTATGTTCTTTTTCACTGCAGAAAATTTACGTCACCTACACTCACCAACTTTTTAACACACATAGTCCTCCACCCAAAAGTGGCCACCTCGAAGCAAGAATCTTAAATTCCTGTTTTTTAATACTTGTTTACTTAATATTTTGTACGAATTTAATGGACTTCTGATTAATAAACTCACCGATCTGAAAGCCAGCCGTGGTAACGTTGTTCAAAATAAAATATTTTTATCTCCAAAAGCTAAACTGTTGCCATTCGGAAAATTCAAAGATACTTATCTTTAAATTTTAATCCACAAATTCGGCTATTTAAAAGCAGTGTTTTGGGACTGCCTGAAATAGAGTACTAATCTCCACGCGCCAGCATGTTACCATTCAGTAAAGATAAGAAATTTAATTTTCAGATTTAACCAAGTGCACTTCGAAGCCCGAATTTTGTTTTTTCAATTTTTAGCCCAAAGGGTTCTTAGTCTCGAAACACGATTTTGCGTTATTTCACTTTTCATTCAAGTCTGTTGGCATTTGGAAAAATGTAAAAAGTATTTTTTTATTTTTAATCCATCTGTTATTAATTAAATAATTTAAATTACTTAAAAGCAATAAAAGCAGTTGGCAAGTATTTATAGTATATATCATTATTTCATATTTTGTACAAATTTAATTACATTTTGATTAACGATCTCAGTAATTTAAAAGCGAACACTGGCAACATTGCTCGAAATGAAACATTTTTATCTCCGACATGTCAGACTGTTGCCATTCGGATAAATGTGAGATATTTATGTGTTACTTTTAATTAACAAACTCGGCTATTTAAGCAATTACAGACTGCGCAAAATATTGTCGTTCGATAAGTATACCGTTATTTTTGGTATATCGTAACAGTAAAAAACACGAAGAATTGAATGTTGAGCAACTTAGAAGTATTATTTTATAAGCTAGCGAAGAAATGCTTCTAATATAAGAAATGGAAAATTTTTTCTTAATTAATAACTAACGTATTCGCTATTATATTTACGATAAACGTATAATACTCATGGTGTAAAGCGCCCAAGGGAGATACTTAAACTAACTATGACTTAAGGGGCAGGAGTCATTGTCTTTGCTTTACTTATGTCTACTATCAAAATGTAAACCCTGTGAAATTTCTAGCTATTTGATATAAAAACTTACAATAATGGACATTCTTTGAGGGGACAGGATACCTAAAAATAAATTATGCTATAGGGTCAATTCCTCATGTACCAGGCATCCTGGTGCAGTATACATTCGGCTATTGAAAAGCAGTGTTTCCACTGTCTAAAATAAAAGTAATAAAATAATTTTATCTTCCACGCCTCAGCCTTCCGCCACTCGGCTAAGTGTAAGATACTTTAAAATTTAATTTGTCTGTTAATGATTAAGCTATTTAAAAACAAGAAACGCAGTTCTTAAAAAAGTTCCCCCTCCCCACACTTTTTAATTTCTTTGATTTAAATAAAAATTCTTATAAATCGGGAGATGTCTAATAAGAAATATTTTATATTTTTCTAAAATTATAATTGTTGGATTCGTTAAAATAACTATTAGCTCAAAGGACGTTACCCCAGAAGGGCTATTAATTTCAAAACGGCCTTAAATTAGTTAAAAATTAAATTAAAAAAGTTAATTCTTTTCTTAAACTGGAGCCACCAAATATTATCGCCATGTATTATATTTAAAGATACTAAATAATGAAGAATCTGCATGAATGTTTCTCGCATTGTGAAAAACAATGGTACCTAGATCCATCAGATTTTGAATAACGTAGTCTTCCAACCGAACATGGGCACTTGGAAACCCGAATTTTGAATTTGTTTTATTATCTATTTCAAATTTTGTAAAACTTTATAACGAATTGTGGATTAACGATTCAAACGATTCAAACTCAACGATTTCAAAGCGAGCAATGGCGACATTGTACGGGAGGGGGGGAAGGGAAAAACTTTTTTTTTATCTTTAGCGCGCGAGACTGTGTATCGGAAATTCTAAAGATATGCTGTTTTTAAATATTTTGTGATATTGCTGTTGAATTGAATTTTATGTAGTTTAGGTACGAAGAACATGATATTTAATAAACAAAGGTAACGCACAAAACTTTAAAAAAAAAGTCCTTTTGAGCGTGGTATAAAATTTGAAAGCTTTCAGAATTTTTTTTTAAATTTTATTATTTTTATTTTTATTATTTTTTATATAATATTCTTTTTCTTTGAACAACAGTTTTACTTATATTAAACTGTAAATAATTGCTAGAAGACTTTACATGCCCTTTTAGTAACCGTAGGGTGCCCCGACAAAAGCGCAGGATTTAAGATGTCCAGTAAAATACTTTATTTTCAGAAAATGGAAAATATTTTAGCTTATTTACAACGGGTATATGTTCCGATTTAAGAAGGAAAAATAATATGTATTGTATGTTCTCTACGGCTTGCTCTGCAGCACCATACTTTCTTGGTGAAATTCGTAATCACTTTTTCACGTATCTGCCTGTCGAGGTGGCAAGTGACACATTCAATTTCCTCTTTAAATTCGGATTCTTTCGGCCTTGCAATTACAGTGTCACGCAAAACAGCGATGTTTTCAACAGATGGACTAGATCAGGAGCGTGGTGTTTTAATGTCTACTATCGAACTTTTCTCCTCAAATTTCTTTATGCGTCTGCAAAACTGTTGCTTCATTAGGTGCACATTCGCATCCAAAGATTGCACGAAGCTTCTTAAGCGTAACACTCATTAGTCCTGTTATGACTTTTCACGATCAAAACTTTCAGTTCCTTTGATTAAGGCTGCATCTCGACGAAGCTGCGAAATGAACCAACAGTGATAAAATGCCAGTGGTGCCAGGTCATACCAAACATGACGTTTTTAAATCTAGCTGTTGTATGTAATAGTTTCTATTGTCTAAAAATGAAATATTCTTTTGAGCGTATTAGTTCCTGCACTGTTATTGGAACACCTTGTAACACAGAATTGGGTAATATCAAACGTGTAAACGCAATTAAAATGTAATATTTCGATGGTACTTATACGTAAAATTGGGTTCTTCCTTGTTAAAAAAACCATCGCATAAGCCGTATGCAATATTTGAAACATACACATTACAGACTGAGCATTTAAGCTTGCTAATTTTGGCGATTAAGCGCGGTGGCCGCTTTACAGAGGAAGGGCCTTAAAATTCTGTAGTATTTCATGGAAATCCATAAAACCATTTTCAGGTTATTTTTGCGTATATTTAATTACCCTCTTTCTTGTAATCACTTCAACGGTCTTTTCTCTCTTTCAGATACAATGACGTCAGAAGTGGAAAGTGGATATTTGAAGTTCAACAAGGCTTTTATCTTAATAAGTAGGTAAATATTATTTTGAATTGTTTTTATTGCGTGTTTTATATCTTTGACCAATCCTGTCTTGCTTTGGAAATTCTTGTCTCATCTAGCTTCGAAGAACAGCTGAGGTTGCTCATGGCTTTATTCCAGGCAGTAATAAGGCATGAAGAGTGTTAATGTGGCCACAAAAATGTAGAAAATGTTCATGAATAACAAAATTTGAATACAAGAAGTTTTTTATATTCATAAACTAAAACTAAATACTTAACAGGTAAATGAAAGGCTGATAGTATTCCCTCTTGAAATTATGAAAAACTATTAAATTCCCACTTGATTGAAAATTCTTGGTTTAGGCTAAGATAGAAACGGTCGTTATATATCTTCTGTACATTTTAAAAGAGAAAAAATATGTAATTCTTGAAAAATGTTGAATGTTTTAATGTAGATGATATATCATGAATTAAATTCATTTTGATTAAAATCAATCAGATTAAAAAGTAAAAAAATAGTAATTTTAATTATGCTTTTATTACTTTTAAACGATTTAGTTTGTTAATTAATAACAGGCAAATCAAATATGAAAGATCAATATTCTGCAATTTTTTTGAACGACAACAGACTCGAATAAAAAGTGAAATAACACAAAATCGCGTTTCGAGACAGTCCATTTGGGCTAATGATTTTTTTATTAATGTAGAAAGCTTTCATTCAAATGAAAAATGATAGAATAATTTAAAAAATAGAACCAACGATTTTTTTTATTCTTATTCATCCCATCATTTTTACATAACTAAAAGACTTACCGTTCATTATTTTGTGTATTCAATCGCCCTCTTCAAAATGTATCGTTCGTCCACCAGCAAGAATTGTACCTGAAAACAGAATTTATCACCAAGGATTAAAAAACAAGTATTTATTTTAAATGCTTAAGAGTATGTTTCTATACTTCTTTTTAGAATGTAAAATCTCATGCACTAAAACACTTAAAAAGTGTGCAATGTGTTTTTAATAGCGGGCTTTGTTACACTCATACGTAACATATCGTAATAATAATTTACAAAATTGATGAATGAGATAATAATGCGCGAAAGAACAACAACACTCTTTTCTAGCGTAAGCTGAGCGAAATTAAAACAGTAACATCTGTGAAAGATAAATTTTATTTACGGAAATTGTTTCAATATTTATTTTTTCTCTTGTTCTTGGAAGTATTTCTTTCTGCCGTCGTTTATGATCCTCGGAAGGTTTTTCGGAACTGTTATGTATCCGGTTGACTTTTCTCACGCAATTTTTTCTTGTTTTATTCTTATTAAAAGAAAAGAAAAAAAGAAAAATAAATAAAGGAGAGAGAGTATTAAAAGAGCTATATTTTTCCATGCTGAAAATATTCATTTCCGAACCCGTTACTTTCGGAGAAACAGTTAGTCTCCTCGGTCTGCTATTTCAAGTCAAGGTATTAATTATTTTAGATTAAAACAAAATGAAACATCTGCCATCTAAAGTTATTAATAGATAAGACCTTCAGATCTTCAGTTTCACAGTGCATATTCTACGAGTTTCACTGTTGCCATTGCGCAAAACACAATCTTTGATTTGTTTTTCAGATTTAATCAGTTCGCAGGCAGTTTCTTTTAACTGAACTACTGAAAACCAATAAACGCACTTCTTAGTAATCATTAGTTGTTATTTTATTTATAATAACGTAGCAAATCATCGATATTAAATTAAGATTTATTTTACCCCCCTACTCACCCACCGAATGAAATACTGTGAAAGTACACATAACAATGAGTGAAAATGCTAATAAACGCATGTAAATTACAAAAATTATCCTCGGGATGTTGCCATGTATTTCTTCATATTAAAATTGTCAAGAGCATCTTTAAGGACTGGAAGAATTCAAGTTATTTATTGTATATTGAAATCTAAAACTGCATTTTGCCAGACTCTGACTTTTTTTTTAACTTCTGGATTAAAAATGTTCACAATTTCGTTGCTTTTGTATTTCGTTACTTTATTAGTAGGATGGGAACAATCAGTACATGGACAAACCTTTTCTTTAAATTAGGAGCGTTCGTTTTCTGAGTGCTTATAAGAAGGAGAAATCCCCCCCCAATGCAAATTGTGAACAATTACAAATGTAATCCACTCCATTAATCTATACAAGGACAGATGTGATGGTCTCTTTATTATGGAGGCACCTAATAGGTGGACCACCATCGCCTTTTTTATGAAGGGACCCATGCGTTCTCCGCGATTCGAACCCTGGCCCTTCGGCATCGCAATCAGCTTCCCTGACCACTATACCGACTGGGTGGCAGAAGGATTAAATTTTCAGAAGTGGCAATAAAAGACGAGGGGGAGGAAATATGCTAGGAAAGATGGCAATAAACCTGTCGTTTGATTTTGTGAACATGTCAGTAAAGTATGTAATGCCGCATAATGGCGAAATTTTAGCTATTTGATATATATATATAACTGAATATTCAGAAAGTATATGGACACCGGAGTTAGTTAATTCTAGCCTCAGAATGAGTCTAGACGTAAAGCCGAATGATATGACTCTTATTTTTATGTAAATGTTGGATAATCGTTAATTTATTGGTTGACTTATAATAATGTCAATAATATATAAATCACTGGAAGATTCACGTTTTGGTATTTTTGCATTCATATAGCCAGTTTTTTTAAATTGCGATATCTAACTTTTGATACGTTCCTCCTCTCTGTGTGCTTAATATTTAAGAAAATGCTATACTTCTCATAAAAGTCTGATGTGGACGCCACATCACTTCTCTTGTACGGTCTATTAAAATCATACACATTTTCCACTGCACTTCATTTAAACTTATTTCCTCAAATTATTCCAATATAATAACCAATTCCTCAAAGCAGGTTGAAAATTATATTAGAAATTACAAATTTTTAAATTAAATATCCCGGTCTATTTTTTCGCAGGGTAGACAAATCATAAATTCTCAGAATATATAAATAAGTTATTAGTATTCTCACGCAGTTTTATTACTTCAAAATTGGTATCCGTTAATCGTATTAAAAATTCACTGAAGTACAAATATGTTTTTCATTTTTAATTAATCCAAATAATAATGCAAATTGGCTACGAAGGCTGCCAGTGCTTTCTAAAACACGAATTCTATGAAATTCTGTGAATAAAATCTCCATTTTTAAAACAATTATATTCATCTTAATATTTTTGACAATAATCTACATAGAAATACTCACGTATTGTTTAACATCGAATTTTTTGAAACGATACTTCTTTTAGTTATGTACGAACGTATGCAATTCGCTCTTCAATTTATATACGGTCCCTGAATATGATGTTCGATTTTAATACCAACTATCTTGTCCAATTTTTGTCGTGCAGGAGTCAATTTTTTTTTTTGTGTTTTATTTTTTTTAAACAATACAAGATTTTCCTACGTATAAGTATAGGGACTTAAGAAACATGTGAAAAGTTAGATTTCTTATTTCAAACTAAATAATTCTTTTATTTTAAAAATATGAATCTGCATCATTTGAAACATTTTTGTAAGTGGAAGTATTTGTCTACAACCAACGGTTGCCAGGGTAAAACGACTATATTGGGCACGATGCTTGCTAGTTATGAGCACCTATTTTTTGAAACACATATCGAAGGGTTTTTATAGTTTCGATTTTGAAATTAAAGAGGAAAAAAAAAAAAAAAAAAAAAACCTCTGCAAGTAGACGTTGTAGCAACTCGACGGTGCATAAAATCTTTATTATTATGAAAACTGGTTGTTCAATAAAGCGTTGCTATTTAAAAAGTAATTTTTTCTGATATTTTTAATGTAGAAATAAATTTTTCAAACAGTGAGCGTTTGTGAATAAAATACGTTTTTAATACTCAGTAATAAACAGCGAAATTTTTCACTCTGATTTGTTTGTGCACTTGTCGTCTGCAAATGAACTAAAATTTAAAGGATATAATGAAGTTCATGCATTCTTCTCCCCCCGCTTTTTTCTAATACTTTTCTGTATACTGATATATCCTTTGTTTTTCAAATAAAATCTATCGGCTGTGGTGGAGTTTTGTACTAATACCTAGCAATCATTTTTATATTTAAAAGCAACGTATACGTTGCTTTGCATTTTATTTAGTAACCATTATTTCCCCCGTTCAAAATACAATATATTTTTAACATATTTTGATTTTTTTTTAATCATTTCATTTGCTCTTTTTTTTTTTATTATTATTCTCGTTTTTTCTGCTTTTTCCCCCCTCGTTATATTTCCTCGTTGCCAGTTTATAAAACTATATAAATACAGTTGTATATAGTACATTAGGAATAAAACATTGAGTAAATTAGGAATAAAACTTCTGATTATCCTGTCTGAAGAAAAAGGTGTAGGATAAATATTAAAGGTGTAAAATTTTAAAGTGGACAAAAATGTCAAGCTTTTGGTACGGGAAATTAAAATTTGTTTTAACAATAGTGTAATCTTTAAAATTGAAATTAAAATAATCATAATAGCGCCAATGAAAAGATTAATATAAGAAGCAATGAAAAATGAAAAAAAAAGGGGGGGATAAAAATATTAATCTTCCGAATGTTTCAAACAGAACTTGTCAAGGGGTAAGTATTTGAAACAAAGTGGGTCGATTAATGAGTGCTGAATAACTGAAAGTTTCACATTTGCCTCCGAGCTATATGTGTGTATCTCTATATACGGTTAATAAATTATACAATACGGCATTCAGTCCTGCTTGATTTAAGTTGCACACATACACACACATATATACATATATACAACTATCACATTCAGTCTAATTTATTTAACTACTCGTGTGTGTACTATATACTGTTGTTTATTTATTTATTTAAATTTTTTCCTCTAATTCTTACTTCTTTGTATAAAGTCTGCCTTCACCGGAAATATATATTTTGACCATTCCTGGATTCATTTTCAGTACCTTTTTGCGTGACGTCTGTACGTATATACAGAACAACGAACTTTTTATTCCGAAACTGAATGTAAAAA